ATTAGAGGACACAGGCCTGGCCAGGACAGCCTTCCTGTTATACATTCTGGGCATGACGAGGCATCTGACCCTCACCTGAGTCTACTCCAGCTGAGGACTCACACACCTACTTCCCAAGCTAGTGAGCCCCACCTGGGCTGTGGGTCTGTGTCCTGGCCAGGCTGTAGTTCATAGCTCTCCTACCAGATTATTTGGTCTGGAGCCACAGTGTGGAAATAAAGGATGAGATTGCTCACCATATACCAAGCACTCTACTATCCCAATTAGGCCCCCAGTGGTTTTCTCATAATTCCCTTCTCAATGTGCCTAATTTGCCCACCTTTCTTTGGCAGGTCTGCTATCATCCTGAAGTCTCTTATGTTCAAGCCCTTTGTGCCACAGATGAACACAGAAGGCTTGGGCATAGAGACTTCAGGATGATAGCAGACCTGTCAAAGAAAGGTTTGATGAGAGGAATGGAAATTAAACCTTGTAAAGTTGCCCTGAATAGTGAAATATGTGAAAGTTGTTTCTTGGGAAAGGGAACAAGACCTTCTACCCCCCAAGCAAAGCCAGGAAAGTCCAAAAGAGCCTTGGCAACTTATTCATACTGATATATGTGGTCCAATTCAACCGATGTCTCAAGGGAAAAACAACAAAATGGGAAATTAACTTTTCAGCTTATATATGTTGATAATATAATTTTGGTTACTGAGAACAAACAAATGCAGATTTAGATGTTGTTCATGTTTTCCTCTAGGCTCTGTGATTCAGGATTTGACACCCTGTTTTAAGCAAAACCTTGGTTACCCATGTGGGCTGAATTAGACCTGTTTCTTTCGGAAGACTCAAGACTTTCAAGCTCTTGCATGCAGACTGGTGTGGGCAGGGCTTCAGAAGTCATTTTGACTATGAGTGGCAGGAGTAGAATTCAGAGTGAGTTATTCATATCTGAGGGGCTTTCAAATCTATATGGAGGCAGGAGCACACTTACAATTGTGTGTGTTTTTCATTATCAATGTTCTTTTCTAGAACGTAATAGAAATGTGTCAGGTGCTCCATTTCCCAGCAAGCTGCCCAGGAGGGACTCTTCCCCCACTTTCTCAGCAATTCTGCATTTGGGGTAGGAGGACTGGAGGTTCAAAGGCCTGGATGAAAGAAAGCTTTGGTTCGAGGGAGTCTGTTGCTTGTTTGGACTCCCCAGCTACAGCTTTAAAACCTTTCCAAAGAAAGTTTTAAACTTGATCCCATCTTGGACCACAAGCTTAACACGAGTCAACAGTGTGATGCAGCAGCAAAAATAAGCTAATACTCTTCTAGGCTGCATCAACAGAAGTGTAGTGTCCAGATCAAGGGAAGTAATAGTACTACTCTATTCTGCTTTGGTCAGACCACACCCGGAATACTGTGTCCAGTTCTAGGTACCACAATTTAAGAAGGATGTTGACATGCTGGGCCACCAAGATGATAAAGGTTCTGGAAACTTACGAGGAGCGGTTGAAGGACATGGGTATGTTTAGCCTGGAAAAGAGAAGACTGAGAGGAGATATGATGGCCATCTTCAGATATCTTTAGGGCTGTCACATGGAAGTGGGAGCAAGCTTGTTTTCTCTTGCTCTGGAGGGCAGGACTCAAGCCAATGGCTTCAAGTTACAAGAAAGGCGATTCTGACTAAACATCAGAAAGAACTTTCTGACAGTAAAAGCTGTTCAGACTCTCCTTCCGTGGAGGTTTCTAAGCAGAGTTTGAATGACCACCTGTCATGGATGCTTTAGCTGAGATTCCTGCTTTGCAGGGAGCTGGACTAGATGGCGCTTCCAATGCTACAATTCTATGATTCTATTGTGATAAGGTGGTATCTGCAGAATGCCCTCCAGGTATGTAAGATCCTCTTTCAGGTATTCTGCTCCCAAACTGTGCAGTACTTAGCCTGGTAGCTGACTGGCACCCCGTGTAATTCTTTCAGCAACAGCATAATATGATGACAACATTCTGCCCTAGCGAGCCACTGAATTTTGTGCTGGCTGCAGCTACTACAGAGCACTCTCGCCTGTAAAGCAGGGCAAACAGCCAGCCTACCTTCACTACTTAGGACAGACGCTGCTGTTTCCTTTGCTGAAGTCTTTGGAGAGAGGTCAGTGGGCATTAGACGATGCACCATACAATCGCCACTTCCCTGCAAAGAAGCTGATCTTAAATGTTCATCATGTTATGCATGCACACCGTGGTGGAAGATGCAAGGCACTGGTGCATAGCATAGCATAGCTGACAGGCAGAACGGGTGGCTGAACCTTTCCTTTAGATACGTGCATATATATATATATAGCTTGCAATGCAATGTAACAACAAAAGGCAGGTTGTGGTTTGGCTTTGTTTTCCATCTTTAGCAGCAGCCAGGAACAGAAGAACCATTTGCATAGAGTGCACAGAGAATATTTTTTTCTATGATTTGGGCAGTGTTGTTGTTTTGACAGCTGCAACAGCCCCTTTGTGGGGGCTCCAGGGCTTAGGGGACACCAAACTCTGTGTGGACCAGTTTGACTCCCATGGCTTCTTCCAAAGGGCCCAAAGAATTACAATTTCGCTAGCCAAACCTTATCACCAGGAGCTAGTTCACACTGAGGGGATAAACCTGTGCCAGGGGGGTGGGGGGGGTGCCACTGCAAGTGAGGCAATTCACATTATGGAATTCTTGTTGGGGGGGGCTCTCCACATAAAAAACTCAATGTCAGATAGAAGCGTTCAGGCCTAGCCTTCTCCCTGGCTTGTAAGCCTTCTAAGAATAAAAATACGGCCCTGTTGCTACCAATGGAGGAGCAGAACATCTTGCACACACCCCTCCCCTACCGTTGGAAGTTTCACAGCCCAGACAGAACCAGCCCTACCAGGCAGAGGGCCTTCTGAGTAGTGGCATCCGCCCTCTGGAATGCCCTCCCATCAGATGTCAAAGAAATTGTCAGGAGTGCGTGCAGGAGCCAGGCCCTGTGACCAGTAGGACTAGGGCCTTCCTAAGTTTGTTCTGAAGAGGCAAGGTGCGGCCGCACAGGTGAGGCCGATTGGTAACTCACAGCACCTGGTGACAAGAGCCGGGAAGGGATATAAGGTCAGCATTTCCCTTCGGCTCTTTGCCACAGCAACACGCTTCCTGCCTTTGGCTTCTTGCTTCCTGATCCTCGAACCCTTGACTTCGTGACTCCTTGCTTCCTGACCCTCGGACTCTTGGCTTCCTGGCTCCTGGACTCTCGTTCCTGCTCCCACCCCGCCATCTTGCCCCTGGTCCTGACTTCCTCAGCCGGGACTTTGACTCGGACCGTGACTGAAATAAAGAACTATCTGACTTTTAGAAGACATATGAAGGCAACCCTGTATCAGGAAATTTTTAATGTCTAATGTTTTACCATTTCTTATGTAAGCTGCCCAGAGTGGCTGGGGAAACCCAGCCAGATGGGTGGGGTATAAATAATAAAATTATTATTGTTAGGCAGAATGAGGTGGCTTCCTCGGTTGGGTGTTGGGGGTAGTGGAGAAGTGTTGTTGGACAGAGCTGTTTGTGTCCCACATGGCCTGCAACTCCTAAGCCAACCTGCTCCCCTCAGGAATGGCGGATAGCACCGTTCCATTACCACTGTTGAACTAATATTCCGTGAAGGCTGCCCTATTGGGGCAAAAGGGGCCTTGCTCCCTCAACCAGCCTCCATCTCCCTCCCTTCTGACTTTACAACCAGTCCAGGGGGTTTACAACCAGTCCTATCCGCTTCTTCCTTCTCCTTAGTCTCAGCATTGCCTTTGAAGAAACTCAACAGGCAGCAGGATGGAGGCAGAGTGAGAATTAATTGGCTCTGCCTTTCTTTGGCTGGAGTCGCCTAGCATTTGGCTTCTCTGATTTCCATCCCACCAGCCTCAAGGGGCACCCAGCCACCATGGGTAATTTTCACCTCCCAGTTGCACTCTGCTTTCCACCTGGGGCTAGCAGCCGCTGACATGTGGGGTGGCAGGACATTGAGAACACATTGAGGGAGAGAAAGGGTTGAGACAAGGCCCTGTTTTGAAAATCAACCTCCCCATGGCTGCTACAAGCAATTAAAAAACGACAAGATGTTGAAGCAAGCTCAACATCTCATCTAGCTTGGTCCCACAGACTACGGCCTTATTGGCCATGGCGCCCTCCCTGTGCAATGCCCTCCCATCAGATGTCAAAGAAATAAACAACTCTGACTTTTAGAGGACATCTAAAGGCAACCCCGTTTAGGGAAGTTTTTGATGTTTGACGCTTTATTATGTTTTTAGATGTGCTGGAAGCTGCCCAGAGTGGCTGAGGAAACAGGAAACCCAGCCAGATGGGCAGGGTATTATTATTATTATTATTATTATTATTATTATTATTATTATTATTATTTTATTATTATAGTGTCCATGTGTCTCTGCCTTATGAAAGAGCAGCAGTACTCGCCTTTGCTGGCTGAAGACAGCAGAGAGATGCCTGCACTTCATCCTAACCTTTCCCCACTCAAGCAACCAGCATTGGGGTGTTAAGGGTGCAGCCTTGATCCTATTGAAAGAAATGGATCTTAACTTAAGCTGTGTTTGACTAGTCCCATTGGTTTCAATGGGGCCCAAATTCAGCTAGCTTTGTCTGACTCCAACCCACTGCGGCTATAAATGAATCGAGACCGGCCGAGATCTCTTATGCACAAGGTTGTACAGTATTGTTCTTGTGGGTTAGACATTTTTACAACTTCCTGTTCGTGCATACTCGGTGCAGAACCTTTAAGATCCATTTCCTGGAAGTGGTTTTTAATTTTTCTTTTTTTAAAAAAAAAATATCTCTAGAAGATAGATAATACACCTGTTTCTTCTGCAAGATATGGCTCTGCGGTTACGGAGTAAAGCAGTTGCTAAACCATTGAATGAATCTTTCAGCATTTAACAGATAAAGAAAAGGGCAAATCAGGCCGCAGCCATGCAGAGCGATAGCAATCACCAGAAGCAAATTTTCAAGGCGAGCTGGTAAAATCACTCACGGGACACTCTCTGTAACCATGCTTCCCATAGGGAGCAAGGTGAAAAGGGTCTTCCTTCATGGCATTTCCCCTGAGGAGGTTGTGGTTTTCTTCTCCTGCTGCTACAACGGCTAAATTTCAGTAACTGCCCAAGTCCTCAAAGGTCCTTGAAAATAATTAACACATATTTTAATTGTTTTATTCTAAGCAAACAAACTTGTTGCAAAAGATGGGGGTTAAAGGGGAGGGGTCTAATATAAATAAGCAAACAAACAAACCGCTTGCTTAGTGTGGGCCACACTAAGATACACTATAATTGCCCCATGGTTACCCACTTTTCTGGAGGAATGTGTGATTTTGCCTCATCTTTTAGTGCCTCATCTTTAAGCTGGGGCAACAGCAGCAAAAGTGAGGATGTTGCCGTTACCTCTGTAGACGCGTTTTTGCGTGTGGTGAAGGAGGGCTAGCTGCCTCTGCCATATTTCGGATTTGCTCATGGTTTTTATGGTCCCCCTGTGTGTGTTGTTTCAGTTTATATTGATGCTTTTAGAAGAGATCTCATCCCGATATCTGTGCCCCTCTAGAGTGTGAATTTTGCCGTATTTTATTTTGTGGGGTTTTTTTTAAGATCGTGCAAACTGCTTAGAGGTTTTCTTTCAAAACATGAAGTGGTATACCAATTGCCCAAATAAACCTGCCATAGACAGAGGCAGCGAGAGTTAAGGAAGAGGCATGCGAACCTACAGGGCTAGTCATGAAGGGCACTGTCATTTCTCCCAAAGTTACAGCATACCTCTGCGCTCCACTCCCAAGGCTGATTCTCACATGGGACCACAAAACTCAGTCTCTCTCTCTCTCTCTCTCTCTCTCTCTCTCTCTCTCTCTCTACCTGAAAACTGCCGCCCCCAGTTCTCCCACACATATACATACAGTGAGCAAAGTTGTCTGGGGATTTGGAGTGAATACGAGTCATCAGCATGTTGATGACACTTAAGCCCTCTTTCTCCTTTTCATCTAAACCAGGCGAGACTCTGAAAGTGTTGATGGTGAACATGCCATAGCTTCGAAACATATTCAAAGATTTCTGGTGGCTGTGGTTTGTGAAGGGTTGCTGGGAATAGTAACTCTGTGAGGGGTAAACTACAGGGCCCAGAATCCCTTGAGGGAATGTTATAGAAAAAATTGGAGGTTTGGCTTTTGCTGCCCAACTCCCCAAGGGACTGAGTCCCCTAAGCCAGTGTTTCCCAACCTTTTTTGGGCAAAGGCACACTTGTTTGATGAAAAAAATCTCGAGGCACACCACCATTACAGCCCCGTGACGTCAGCGCGCAGCGTCATGCCGGGAGGGACGCACGAAAGTGTAACTTTCAATTTTTTTCCCTCCCCCTTGCCGGGGAACCTCCAAGCTTTGGGGGTGGGGGGGGGAGGAGGCAGCAAAGCGAGGGACTGAGGGACTCCTCCAACGACAAGGGTTGGGGAAGAAGAGAAAGGGCTATTCCGCTCCAGTCACGGGAGGGGAATATGTACTGGCCCAACTGGTGTGCGGTCTTCGGAAAGCGGGGTGCGGGAAGGAAGCCTAGGCTCGGGGTCATAGAATCATAGAGTTGGAAGAGACCACAAGGGCCATCGAGTCCAACCCCCTGCCAAGCAGGAAACACCATCAGAGCACTCCTGACATATGGTTGTCAAGCCTCTGCTTAAAGACCTCCAAAGAAGGAGACTCCACCACACTCCTTGGCAGCAAATTCCACTGTCGAACAGCTCTTACTGTCAGGAAGTTCTTCCTAATGTTTAGGTGGATTCTTCTTTCTTGTAGTTTGGATCCATTGCTCCGTGTCCGCTTCTCTGGAGCAGCAGAAAACAACCTTTCTCCCTCCTCTATGTGACATCCTTTTATATATTTGAACATGGCTATCATATCACCCCTTAACCTCCTCTTCTCCAGGCTAAACATGCCCAGCTCCCTTAGCCGTTCCTCATAAGGCATCGTTTCCAGGCCTTTGATCATTTTGGTTGCCCTCCTCTGGACACGTTCCAGTTTGTCAGTGTCCTTCTTGAACTATGGTGCCCAGAACTGGACACAGTACTCCAGGTGAGGTCTGACCAGAGCAGAATACAGTGGCACTATTACTTCCCTTGATCTAGATGCTATACTCCTATTGATGCAGCCCAGAATTGCATTGGCTTTTTTAGCTGCCGCGTCACACTGTTGGCTCATGTCCACCGGGCGCAAGGTCCACCGACCTCGGCGGAGAAAGGCAACAACCGGAGCCGATGACCAGTGGCGTAGCGTGGCTTGTCAGCACCCGGGGCAAGGCAAATAATTTGTGCCCCCTAACCCGTGGATTTTAGCACTCGAGTGCGAGCGCGCCCCCCCCCCAAGATGTTGCGCCCGGCCCCCCTGCACCCCCACGCTATGGCACTGCTTCAGGTTCCCCAATAAAACATTTGAGGGGGCCAGTCCCCCAGTTGATGGGCATTGCCAATGTGATCAACTATGCAGGGCGGGGTTTACTTGCCTCCCCCCCCCCAATATCATACTGTATTCACATTGGCACCCCTGATGAACTCAGCGGGGCTTACTTCTGCCCCGCAAGCCTTTGCACCTCCGTGTCTCCTTTCCTCTCTATATGTAAGAGGGTGAAGGTCAGGCTGGCAGTGCAAATAAGGGCCCCGCTGCTGAAGGCCTCGCCCGCCGCGACCTCCTGGTCCACGGGCAGGGCAAGAAAGTGCCTTTTCCTTGGGGGGGGGAGTCTTAAATTTCAAACCATTATTATTATTATGAATATCTAATGTGCGTGGTTTCTCTACCTCCACCGACGACTCGCCACGTGCGAGGAGGAAGGCGGGCTCCCTTCACCTCCCCGTCCCCTCAAGGGAAAGGGAAAACGACGTGAGGAAAAGCGATGCGGGACAGCGAGCGAGGTTCTCCTCAGAGCCTTTTCCCACCGCCCCCTCGCAAGACAGCCCTGAAGCCGAGCGCAGAGTGAGGGGCGGGGCCCGGCAGAGTCTCGCTGCCCCCCAACGCCTCTCGAGGCGGCATGAGGGGCGCTGCGTCAAGGGCGCCGGCGGGCGCAGCGGCAGCTCCTGTCAGGGCACGAGGCGGGCCCGGCGCCTCTCCCCCACCCACCCGTCCGCCCACCCATATCCCGCTCAGGAGGGGCCGGTGGGCTGGCAAGCGCCTCACAGCAGCAGCACCAGAGAGGGAGAGAAGTCCGCCTCCCGCCGCCGCCGCCTCTTCATCCCCAGCAGCAACTTCCCTGCCCGGCTCCCCACCGCCGCCGCCGCCTCCTTCTCTCCCTGCTTTGCAGTAGCAGCCGCCGCCGCCGCCGCCGCGGCACACCAGGCAACATCTCGCGGAACACTAGTGTGCCGCGGAACACCGGTTGGGAAACACTGCCCTAAGCCCATGATCGGTCAGAGATGAACGGATGGAGGCAAGGCAGAGCTTTATTTTTCTGTTGCAACAGAGTTCCCTCCCCTCCTTGCAAGGAGGTAAGAGAGACCCAGAACAACGGTGTGCAAGCCCCTATAAATACTTTTGAAATTGCCCACCCTGTACCCCAAGACCACCCCCCAAAATCAGAGGCGTAGGAAGGTCAGGTGGTACCCGGTGCAGAAAATTTCTTGTCACACCCCCATTGATATATTTTTTTGCTTGCAAGAATGGTTTTACGTTATTTCATATTTTCTTACAAAGGAATGTGGATTCTGGGCCTCTGATAACAAGTAGGCAACTATGGACAGATACTTCAATCTACAGGGTGGATTGTGTTTTGGTTTGTGCTATTTTATTTATATTTATTGTTTATTTAATAAAATTTATTTTAAAAAACCTGCAAAGTGATTTACCAAAAAACCAAAAAAAAACCCACAGCATTAAAATCAAGAAAAATTAACAATCCAACTTTAAAACTTACAAAAGCTAAAATATTAAGATTAAAATTACTTCAACTTCCTTAGCATCTAGGTATGCTTGACTAAAGAAGAATGCTTTTAGCGGGTGCCCGAAAAGAGTCTAGCAAAGGCACGTTTTTGTTGCAATAGGCGGGGAGTTCCAAAGTGCAGGTGCTGTCACAGTAAACAATGCAGTACAGATATTATGTGGAACTTGTAGTAGTGCTTGAAACTACTGAAGGGGTGGTTTTCTTTATTGTGACTTCACCATGCTCTGTATTATCTGAAAAGGAAAACATTTATTTAAAAAACAAGACTGCACAGCAGCAATCTAGTCTCATCATGATCAATGGGACTTATTCCCGAGCCGACGGTGCATAAAATGGGCTGCAATCCAATGCATCCCTTGCATCCAACTTGTACCTAAAACTCTGCACCAGAGAATTGTAGAGTTGGAAGGGACCCCTGAGGGTCATCTAGCCAAACCCCTGGGGCAATGCAGGAATCTCAACTAGACCATCCCTGACCGATGGCCATCCATCTTCTGTTTTTCCCCTCAGCCAGGAGACACAACAACGGAGACTGGAGGTGGGTGGAAAAGATAAATATTGACAATGGGACAGATTTGTCAGGCGTGCGCAGGGACAGCTTGAAGACTTTACACAGAGAGGGACTCCACACGGGTTTCCCTGCATGTAACAGTAACAGGCAGGGAGCCAGCTCAGATAGAGAGAAAGACCTTGGGGGAGGGGAGGACAAAAGAGTACCAAAGTCAGCCCATTTTATCCTCTTTGAGATGGTGGCACTAGGGCTCTGGGACCACCCTCCCCAAAATATTTACTTGTCTTCATTGTATTGTTACCACTGTTATTCTATAGTACAATTTCTTTTTTAAATTAAACACTTTCTCTAAAATTAAAAGTAATCATTAGCATAGATATCAAAGGAAAAGCGAAAGAATAGTCCCTAATAGATACAAGGGAGACACAGATACACAAGCACACAGAAGTAAATAATCCAGCCTTGGGGAAATTTCAGCCTTCACGACATAGGAAAACGGCCAAGTAAACAGCTATTTTCGTGGAGGAGGGCCAAGATATTAACTGATATGCATGAAATTTCATATACAGTGGTACCTCAGGTTACATACGCTTCAGGTTACAGACTCCGCTAACCCAGAAATAGTGCTTCAGGTTAAGAACTTTGCTTCAGGATGAGAACAGAAATTGGGCTCTGGCGGCGCGGCAGCAGCAGGAGGCCCCATTAGCTAAAGTGGTGCTTCAGGTTAAGAACAGTTTCAGGTTAACAAGGGAGCTCCGGAACGAATTAAGTACTTAACCTGAGGTACCACTGTGTAGCTATATAATCCCTAGTGTGGTAAAATAAGACCTTTGCAGCAGGCATTTTCAAAAAAAGTTTTAAATGAACCGCCCTAGTAGGGCAGTAATTGTTCCTTAATAATTTGTCACCCCCCTTCCATGATGGCACCTGGGGCAGCCCAGCCCCTCCACCCCCCCTTTCCTACGCCCCTGCTCAAAACATCACAGAAGGTCTCCAGTAGAATTCTGAGTGTTGCTTCTCTCCTGTCTGCCAGGATACCTGATAATGCCTTACTTGATTGCATTTTCTGGGCAGCCTGGCCATTACTTTGAGATGATGAATACTTTAGTTCCTGAATCTCTTACACATATTGATAGTTTGCTCAGCTTAACAGATACTTGCCAGACTGTTTTTGCAGGGAAATATTCGTCCCTACAGTCCAAATACAATTGGAAAGCTTTTCCCGTTTCCTTCCTCCTTGCAGAGAAATATTTGAGGTCAATTTGGGAGAGTCAAAATGGCTTCAGGATTGCTCTCCTGTGCTATTTCAGACACGTGGTGTATGTACTGTAATGATCTCAGGCAGGCAAGAAAGCTCCGATAAGAATTAATGAGTCTCTGGCAGTTTTATGGTACGTTTATTTACAATTAACATCCAGAGAGCGGTTTTGGGCCTGCCACTCTTATCTGTGAGTTGGTCACTCTGAGTCTCTGCCCTTTTTGCAGCATGAAGGGTGCCAAAGTCCAGTCCTTCCTCTCTTTTAACCCTTTCAACTCTTCTGCTTTGGGGAGAAGGTGGGTGGGTTTCCCCCTCCCCCACTTTCAAACGAAGAGCCCTCTAAATACTGCCTCCCTCCTGGTTGCATAGCAACCCCCTCAATGCCGTCTATCTCCTCCCCCCCTCTGCCTGTGATCTTTCCGAGTCTGCTGCTCTATCTGAGTCTGGGAACTCTTGATGAACTAACCCACTCCTGCTCTGTCTGTGGCTGCAATCCCTTGTCTCCAGAGTCAGACTCTGGCTCCCTCTGTACTGGCATTCCTTCATCTCCAGAGTCAGACACTTCCCAGGCTTTCAATTCAGCCACGTCTCTGACATATACTTAGGTATGTGTTTGCCTTGTAAAATTAACTCTCAAAAGATCAGCAAATGATAATTAAACAGAAATTCACTCTCAACAATTACAATAATTATTAAACTATGATTTTAAAAAATAACTGCAAGGCACAATGCATACAATGCCACAATAAATCCCTACTTGAGACCTTTTTTAATCCAGGCAAAAACATTTTCAGTTCCCGAAGCCTTTGATATGTTACCTGAGTTGCTTTTCTTGTACTGGCCTTGCTTCTTATTCTTCTTCTGCTTTAACTATGTTGGTTAAACATACGGCTTCCCCCAAAGAATCCTGGGAGCTGTAGTTTGTTAAGGGATGCTGAGAGTTGTGGGTAGGCACCAAACTACAATTTCTAAAGTGGCTTAACAATCAGAGGGAATGCTGGGAATTGTAATTCTGGGAGGGGAATAGGAGTCTCCTAACAGCTTAAAAAGCAGAGACATCACCTTGCCAACAAAGGTCCATATCGTTAAAGCTATGGTTTCCCCAGTAGTGATGTGTGGAAGTGAGAGCTGGACCATAAAGAAGGCTGATTGCCAAAGAATTGATGCTTTTGAATTATGGTGCTGGAGGAGACTCTTGAGAGACCCATGGACTGCAAGAAGATCAAACCTCTCCATTCTGAAGGAAATCAGCCCTGAGTGCTCACTGGAAGGACAGATCCTGAAGCTGAGGCTCCAGTACTTTGGCCACCTCATGAGAAGAGAAGACTCCCTGGAAAAGACTCTGATGTTGGGAAAGATGGAGGGAACAAGGAGAAGGGGACGACAGAGGACGAGATGGTTGGACAGTGTTCTCGATGCTACGGACATGAATTTGACCAAACTGTGGGAGGCAGTGGAAGACAGGAGTGCCTGGCGTGCTCTGGTCCATGGGGTCACGAAGAGTCAGACACGACTAAATGACTAAACACACACAACAGATCTCAGTAAAGCTCGAACAGATTTGCTCATCCTTACGAGGCACTAACCTGACCTAGATGGGGCAGGATGGTGTTTTCATGTGCCCTGGGTTTGTCTTTAATCTCATTTTTTTATTTTTTATTTTTTTATTGCTTTATTCTTCTTCTGGAAGTCACTTTGTGGCAGGACCAGCAAAAATAGATAGAGGGTCACAGATGTGGGCAGCGTGCCTTTTTGTCCAAGGTTTGGTTTCTGAAAGAAAACTCTGTTTGAGGACAGAGGCAAGTTACTTATTGCAGGGGGTGCTCCCCCTCCTCCGGTGGTCCTTGCGCGCTTTGTGGGATTTCCTGGGTGAAAAGCGGGGGCTCGTAAGAATATAAATATATGTGACACCTGTTCCTTGGAGACCACAGAGAAAGCCATTTTTCACCCTTTGCCAGAAGATGACTTGCAACAATTCATTCTGTAGGTTCTTCTTCTCGAAAAGGGCAAAGATCCCCTTATCACTTGGGCCATCTGCATTCTCTCAGGGCAGCAGGAAACACCTGAGGCTATCAAGGGCCTCCTCACTGAGGCTGTGCTCCAGGCAGGAGAAGGAACAGCAAGTAAAATCTCAGCCTCTGAGCGCAACGCATCATGTGCTCCGTCCTTGCAAGAGTATGAGGGCTGAGCCAAAAAGAAAAAAAAGAAAGGAAAGGAAGTTCCTATAAATTGCTCTTCACACAGCATCATTCTAAGCTCCCTTTCACTAGCTGTCATTGTCTGGTTTCGTGGCAAGTTAGCAAAAGGCCATGGACAGAGGTAAGTCCTCTTTCTCTCTCTCAACCTCAACTTCAGGGTTCAAATTGAGTCAGAAGCAAGCCTCTGAACCTGTTTCTAGCTCCAAGGCTACTTGGGAACAATCACAATGGCAGTGTGTTTCTGGGCATGTGCAGAGTAGAATTCGCTTGCCATTTAAATGATGGCAGCCTTGTGCTCAGACGCCCATCTGGGAATGGGGGCAAGGGCTTCCAAGTGGAGGGGGGGGTCAGGTTTAAAAGCCCTGTCATCTCTCCTTGTTTGGAAGGTGTGTGTTTCAGTGAACAGACTGTGCTACTTGCTGCCTTGCCTTGGCTCCCAGGACAGCTGTTAAGAGAAGCCCAAATTTCAAATTACAAGACAGAGGAAAGGACCACAATGTGGTGTTTTGATTCATTCATGTTAAAAACCTCTTCTGTTAAAAAAGATGAACTCCACCCCGCTCTCAAAGAAGTGTGTTATTTCTAAAGCCAGGGGGTATAGAGGCTCAGACTATCTTTTCTGAACTGGAAGCCCCTAATCTCTAAAGACCTACGCACTCAGTGATAAGCGAGGCTTTCTGTGCATGCTCAATGGCACATACTTCTGAATGAGAGGCCACTTTGATAGGAAAAATAAACATATACGTATTTCCCCCCAGCAATGTTGGGTTTGAATGATGTCAGTTCTGTTTTCTGTTGTAAATGATAATAATAATAATAATAATATAAATCATAAGGGGGGGATTAAGGAATGAACTGGGCAAACTGCTTTAGATAAGACGATTCAGAGTTCATGCTTGCTTGGAAAGCTGCTTTCAGAACAGCTTTTTGTAGTCTTCTGGGCACAATGGAAAGCACAGTTTTGGACTTGCAAACCTCCTGTGTTATGGTCACAAGCTTTGGCGACCATAGGATAGGTGTCAGCAGCAGCTACCCTAGGGCCAACTCTGGCCTTGCAACTGCCATCCTTGAGGCGGAGGGGAGCAGGGGTTGGGGGAAGCAGCAGCTATGACTGGGGGACACCTGCCAGCAGTATAATTTGCCAGGAGTGGTGGTGCGGCCATCATCTACAACTCCCCCTTCGAAACAGCCATCCAGTGAAACCACTTTTGAACCTTAGAAACCACCTGCTCCCCTCTACGAAAATAAATCCCAAATCACAGCCCTGTTTATCACAGCTAATGCATGATCTGTTCTCGTTGCAGCCTTTTCTATAAGCATTTCAGAGTGGGCATGAACAACTTTGCTGAAAGACCACGATATTTCAGCCGTCACTTAAATTTGCAGGGCTGCCTTCTCTTCATGTCCTCCTCTGTGTCCTCCCAGCCGTTTTCTGTGTCACTGTGTGCATTGTGTTTCTCTCCTCTAGATAAAAAGCTGAGAGCGGTCGTCATTTTGAACTTGCCTCTCCTTTTCCAGGTAAGGAGATGACCCAAATGGCCGGTGTCCCTTGAGCACTGCTGCTGTGGGGTGGGGTGAGGTCATTTGATACAGAGCCTGTTCCATGTTCCCTTGCTCCACCTTCCCATGTCAGTAAAGGGAAGAAGTTGGGCAATGGGAAGGATTAAAGGTTGAGGGTGTTTGACAAATAGCCACTGGGCAATAGAAATTTGATTCGGCTTGCATTTAAAGGCGAGCCTAGCTGGACCGCATGCTATGCAGAGATACATGCACCAAACCACAGCCATCCTTTGAAACCCACACTTCTCAGAATCTTGCCAAACCGTTCTCCAGCCAAGCAAGGTGTACAAAAAGGCATATTCTCAAGTCAAGTGTGCAGGTAGGTGCATACATTACTAAAACATAACCTACAAAGGTGAATGATTTTAGGGGGCATTGCAAAAATTAGCATTTTGGCCAAAAACGCATACCCAAGAATGTGCTCATTAGGAGAAATCTGTGCTAAAACGCTGTTGAATTTTCATGAGGACTATTTTTATTGGTTATAGATTAGTAATTCTTTATTGTAATTGATAAGTGTAAACTGTTTAATTACCATTTGCTGATGTTTAATTTTACTGCTTACTATTGGATTCCAATGGATTATTGAATATCGCTTTATAGGATATAAGTTGTTTATTTTTAAAGTTATTGTGATTTTTTAAATATCAGATCAGATTGTTACTATTAATGTTTGACGTTTTATTATTATTATTATTTATGTGTGTTGGAAGCTGCCTAGAGTGGTTTCGGGCAACTCAGCCAGATGGGCGGGGTATAAATAAATACATTATTATTATTTTTATTATTAAGATTGTGGAAATGTAGATAACTGAAGTTTAGATTGGAAAAATGGGAAACGGAAAAGGGACAGCTTTTCCCATCCCTCCTGGGCAACCATCTCAAGGTGCATTTTATTCCCACCTCTGAAGAAAGGCGTGTTGCTAAGTTGTGAACTGAGGTTGACTCTGGAGCTCCTCTTTCCCTCATTCTCTCATCTTTCTCACTTTCATACAAGCTCTCACTCTCTCTCACACACACACACACATTCAAGGGAGAGGGTGGAGGTGTTTGGTGGTGGGCTGCCTCTCCTTCCTTTCTCTTTGGGCGATGCTCCTTCTGCAGGTCCACCCACAGGATGTGGTAGGAGCCCTCGCTCACAAGCCCACCGCAAGGTTTTCTTGCAGGCCTCAGAGCTCGGTGTGTTTTCCCTTTTAAACTTTGTGTGGCCGGTTCGCCTCCCAACCCACTGCGGTTCTTTCTCTCTGCTCCTCTGCCACTCCTCACGCCCGCCATGTGTGCAGTACATGCCCCTTCTCCCTCCCTCCCTCACTCACTCACTACAGATCCCATTCCTCTCTCTTTTGCTCTGCCTCTCCTTGCTATTTTTGCAACAAAACACACCAGCAAAGTCCCCAGCAGTTCCTGTCCCTTTCTCCAACCCCCCCTTCCCACTGACCCTGTTCCTTCTCCATTTCCATCCTCCCTACCCCTATCCTAAACCAAAACAAATCTCAGACTCAGGGCCAGATTTAGGTTTGATGAGGCCCTAAGCTACTGAAGGTAATGGGGCCCTTTAGATGCCCAGCTGTCCTTTGTCAACAACAAATTGTCACTGTTTTTTGTGTTCAATATATGCTACATGGTAATTTATGGACCTAATAGGTACAGTGGTACCTCGGCTAACCCAGAAATAGTACCTCGGGTTAAGAACTTTACCTCAGGATGAGAACAGAAATTGCGCGGCAGCAGTGGGAGACCCCATTAGCTAAAGTGGTACTTCAGGTTAAGAACAGTTTAAGGTTAAGAATGGACCTCCAGAACGAATTAAGTTCTTAACCCGAGGTACCGCTGTACCTAAAGCCATTTGCACACGTTGCCATGCAACCAGTCCATGCAGAATGTAGGCACCCTATGTATAGAAAGGAGCAAACCAGTGATATTTTAGGGAGCAGGCTAGCAGGCAGGGCCCATTACTTACTGTATGTTTTATTTTATTTGTTTTTTATCTTACATTTTGGAAATAGTACATCCAGGTGTTTTTTCCCTTTAAATTTTTTGGGGGCCCTCAAGAGAGTGGGGCCCTAAACTATAGCTTGTTTAGCTTATACGTAAATCCAGCACTGCTCAGACTTAGTCCTGGAATATCATGCCTCTTCCACTTTTGAAAATGGGCAACCCCAGTGTGTTGTTTTCATTGTCTGGAATTTCCAGTGCAAATGTCAGGGAAACACACACCAGCTTCCCATGTGACATAGCAAGGGACTGTAAAGACATGAATCACAGATCACATGCTGCGGTCACCCACAAGTGGCAGAGGGATTTGGAATCACCCTTTTCTGAGTGGTGGGAGAGCTTTTGACCACAAAACAGGCTTTTAAAACCTGTTATCTTAAGAGTGCAGACATCATGCCAAAGTTAACCAAAGGGATGATGGACACTTAGCTACGGTTTGGTGCGATGTCTGAGCTGATAGACCATAGTTTGTGAGAGACCAGCTATCCTGAATCAGAAACCATGGTTTGAAGTGCATGAACAGACCATGGCTTCTGCTAATTATGGTTTAGCACAATGACAGAACTCATCATGACCTTCCTTATGGTTCCTTCTCCGCTGCCAAAGATTGGTGCACCAAAGGATGGATGTGTTTTTGGTTTGGGTTCATGTCAATTTTGCATATGTTCGTTCCTAAGTCTTTCCCACCATTTTCCCACATTAATCTGCACTAAAATTTGTATTGAAATACTGCTTTATGACGAAGTACCTAGCTGATACGTATTTTATCTCGCGGTACACCTTTCTTGAGGTATTTTAGTCAGAAATACACATGCTTTTGGGGAGTTGCTTCCCCCCCCCAATGCCACGAATTGCATCACAAAATCCCAAGCAATGCAAAATCCAAAACAGAATGAACCCCTAATCCACACCTAGGTCTAGGAAGTGAGAATCAGGGCAGTTCAATTCGCAGAACTTGAATTCCCCAAGCATTCTCAGCTTGCTTTCTTAATTTATTCTTGCATTTCTAGCTCACTTTTCCTCCAGGGAACTCAAGGTGGTGTACATGCATCTCCCCCCACACCATTTTATCCTCACAGGAACCCTGTGAGGCAGACTAAGAGATGGCAACTGGCCCAAGATGATCATGACAACAATACTTTTATTTTTTGTACCCCACCCATCTGACTGGGTTGCTCAAGTGGACTGAGTGGGCTGATTGGGGATTTGAACCCTGGTCGCCCAGGGTATCAGCCCCATATATGCTACCTTGAGCTTCTTGGAGGAAAGGCGAAATATAAATAAATAAATGAGTGAGTATATACTTTCCCACCCGTAAATATATTCACAGATAGCCACTCCAGACCATATCACTTGCAATGGCGGTTCTGATGCCTCTTCTCCGTTAGATTTAGTCACACACAATCTTCTCATTCTGAACTTCGCCAGCAGGATCATGTCCCTAGTGCTGTCGGTTCAGCACCATGAGGAATGTAGTGGAGAAAATATTCGTTCCATGTAATGAAACAGGTACTTTTCTCAGGGCAAAACCCAGCAATGGGACCCTAATCTGGACTGCTGTCCAAGACCAGGTATAGATCACATAAACCAGGAATATTGGAAGGGGTGCCCTCCAGATGGGGTTGGACTCCAACTCCCATCAGCCCCAACCAGCAAGGATGATGGGAGCTGGAGTCCATCAACCTTTGAAAGGGGAATTCCATGCACTACCTTTGCCGTTAGCTTTTTATTGTGAGTGAAACAGCTGGTGCAGACACACCTTTGTTTTTGAAATATTTCCACCACCATCCCCGGAACATTTTGTGTCATGATGTTTAGCGTCTATGTAGCATTTTCTGAGTGTTTTAAGGTGTTTCACCCACATTATCAATACTGTAATCTCTACACAACAGCCCTTGGCAGGAGATCAATGTTATTATCTGTATACTGTAGATAAAGAACTGAGAAAGAGTGGCTCATTTAACACCCACGCCTGCTGAGCCCATGATAGGGATAAGATCTGAACCAGGAATTACATGGTTTCTAGCTCAGTTCCTAAGACACAACCGTGGCCCAGCTACTGCCTGGGAGCAGGTCCTGTTGAATTCAAAAGTAGGCAGCTATAGGACTGTGCTCTATCTCAGTTAACTGTGCCAGTAGCTAAGGAACCATCCTTCCCATCTCTCACTCCGTTTTTATTTTATTTCGTTGGGAAACTTTGGTGTAAGCACTGCACATCACATTGTCCTTATGTGGGGTCAGAAACTCCAAGTTTGAAAAAGAGAACCTCTTCTGCCTATGATGACATCCTCAAAAAGGAATGAACCAATCACACGTGACCCTTCATAAGGCAACGCTCACATGTCCTAATCAGAATTTCCTCCTTGGTATCTCACGGGCCCAAATGTGGCAATTTTCAAAACTTTAACCGCTGTCACGAATTATTGTTCTGTCTGAAAATGGCAGACATTCCCTAAAGACAGAATTGTTGTTTCTCCCCATTGATTTGCATCAGTTGTTTGTTTTTTCCAGAAGTCGATGGCCCTGCTGCCATAATCTCATTTTAGTGATCCCCATGTGCCTCTTTTTATTGAGGACAATTCTCTGTTCGACAATGGAACAGTCTTCCTCGGGAGGTGGTGGGTGGACTCTCATTCATTGGAGGTTTTTAAAGCAGAGGTGCTTTTGCTGAGATTCCTGAATTGTAAGGGGTTGGACTAGATGACCCTCAGGGTCCCTTCCAACTCTACGATTCTATGATTTTATTGGAGAGGGTGCACAGTCCAAGTCCAATTTAAAGGTTAAAAAAAAAACTTTAAGAGGGGAGCACAGGAGGGGCCCCCAGCATTGCCCAACACCTGGGAGCACCAGGGCAGCAAACTGAGCTGGCACAGTGCAGGTAGCTACATCAGAGTGAGTTGCTCTATGGAGAGACATTCAGCACATCTATATGAACACGGCAATACAGTGGTAAAAAGGTAAAGGTAAAGGTACCCCTGCCCGTACGGGCCAGTCTTGACAGACTCTAGGGTTGTGCGCTCATCTCACTCTAAAGGCCGGGAGCCAGCGCTGTCCGCAGACACTTCCGGGTCACGTGGCCAGCGTGACGAAGCTGCTCTGGCGAGCCAGAGCCGCACACGGAAACGCCATTTACCTTCCCCCTAGTAAGCGGTCCCTATTTATCTACTTGCACCCGGGGGTGCTTTCGAACTGCTAGGTTGGCAGGCGCTGGGACCGAATTACGGGAGCGCACCCCGCCGCGGGCATTCGAACCGCCGACCATGCGATCGGCAAGTCCTAGGCGCTGAGGTTTTACCCACAGCGCCACCCGCGTCCCCCTCGGGTTAACCTCGGGTTAAGTACTTAATTCGTTCTGGAGGTCCGTTCTTAACCTGAAACTGTTCTTAACCTGAAGCACCACTTTAGCTAATGGGGCCTCCTGCTGCTGCCGCACCGCTGGAACACAATTTCTGTTCTCATCCTGAAGCAAAGTTCATAACCTGAAGCAATATTTCTCAGTTAGCGGAGTTTGTAACCTGAAGCGTATGTAACCCGAGGTACCACTGTAGTTATTTCTGCATTTGCATCTATAAATATAAATTAGCCTGGGCATTTTGCGTGCACGTCTGTGTCAAAAGCGCATTTCTAGGCAATACATTTCCTCTTTTTCTGGCAATGTAATTTTTGCTTGGCTATACAATTCCTGGAAAGCTAAGTTTCTGTAAGCATATGCCTGCCAGGTGGCAAGCATTTTCTGCAAAATAAAAATGCTTTTAAATGTCGCACACTGAAAATTCCCTTTACGTAGAAGTCACCCTGTCCTGGTGCGTGGGAGAAAAAATGGCTCTACAGAAGTGGTTCCCAACTGGTGGCTCATAGACTCCAGCGAGTCGACGTAACCCACCCAGGGGATCTGTGGCACCATTTGCACAACAAAAACTACTAGAGAGATATCATAGTTTTCAAAAATAGGGGGTCCATGTAGCTTGGCTTTTGCAAAACGGGGGGTCTGCAGTACTTAGCTGATGGAGAACCACTGTGCTACAGTGTCAAACAGAGAGAAAGGAACCTGAAGGTCAAACCGGGTGTGACGTTATTCACGTCTTCAGTCCTTACATGGCAGATTTGTTAAATAATTAGCTGCTATGGTGGGGCTATACTGGGAAGCTGATGGGGAGCAGGGGTGTTTTCACCCTTTTGCCCTTCAAACCAAATCTGGATTGGGGCCAAGCGCTGAAATTTGAAAGGAAGTGTGCACAGGAAGCCAAACAGATGTCTTATAAGCCTGCCCCCAAAACGCAGAACCCACTTCTGTTCTCCCCCCCCCACACACACACACACCAGTGCCCCTGCAGAGTGTTCTTCTTGAGACCACACAATTTACCCTCTTCTCTAATACTCTTTCCACATGGGGCTGCAGGGATGTATTGTAGGGTTTTTATCTACATCGCAGATAGTCAACAGGGCAACGGCTGTCCTCACTTCAGTTTCAGTTCATCTCGCTTATTAATAATAATAATAATTTGTTATTTATACCCCGCCCATCTGGCTGGGTCCCCGCAGCCACTCTGAGCGGATTCCAACATTAAAAGCTTCCCTGAACAGGGTTGCCTTTAGATGTCTTCTAAAAGTTTGGTAGTTATTTTTCTCTTTGACATCTGGTGGGAGGGCATTCCACAGGGCGGGCGCCACTACTGAGAAGGCCCTCTGCCTGGTTCCCTGTAACTTGGCACAGGGAATGTAATCAAACTATTAAGTAGCACACTGGCAACTTGCATTGGAAGAAAAGCTTCCATTGGTGCACATTTGAACCTTTCCAACTTGGGTGGGTCTACAAAGAGGATTAATCAAACTCTTGGTTGTGAATGCTAGCTATGATGGCATTGGGGCATGAATACTCCAATCTCTGTGACACCTCCCTCCCCAATCTGGAGAAACCCTGAGCTCATGGCCCCCCACCCCCTATTTGCTTTCTAAACAGCCTTTAATGCAGTTACTAATTGTGTGAATATCTGCTCATCTAATGTGGAACCTGCGCCTGCCAACCTAGCAGTTCGAAAGCACCCCTGGGTGCAAGTAGATAAATAGGGACCGCTTACTGGTGAGAAGGTAAACGGCGTTTCTGTGTGCTGCGCTGGCTCGCCAGATGCGGCTTTGTCACGCTGGCCACGTGACCGGAAGTGTCTCCGGACAGCGCTGGCCCCCGGCCTCTTAAGTGAGATGGGCGCACAACCCTAGAGTCTGTCAAGACTGGCCCGTACGGGCAGGGGTACCTTTACCTTTTTAATGTGGAACCTAGAGACTTAAAAGTGGGCATCCACTCATCCCAGGAAATCCTTGGAACTGTAGTCTCTGTGTGTGGCTAGATAGCTCTGAGAGCACCCTCACCTGGCAATGACCTCCAGGACACCTTCATAGGATCATAGAATTGTAGAGTTGGAAGGTACCCCGAGGGACATCTAGTCCAACCCCCAACAATGCAGGAATCTCAACTAAAGCATCCATGACAGATGGCCATCCAACCGCTGCTTAAAAACTTCCCAGGAAGGAGAGTCCACAACCTCCTGAGGGAAACTGTTCCACTGTCGAACAGGTCATACTGTCAGAAAGTTCTTTCTGGTGCCTAGTCGAAATCTCCTTTCTTGTAACTTGAAGCCATTGGTTCGAGTCCTACCCTCCAGAGCAGGAGAAAACAACCTTGCTCTATCCCCCATGTGACAGCCCTTTAGATATTTGGAGAGGGCTATGATATCTCCTCCCAGTCTCCTCTTTCCCAGGCTAAACATACCCAGCTGCCTCAACCATTCCTCATAAGGCTTGGTTTCCAGTCCCTTGGTCATCTTGGTCACCCTCCTCTGCACACATCCCAGCTTCTTAAATTGTGGACCTAGAACTGGACACAGTACTGCAAGTGCGGTCTGACCAGGGCAGAATAGAGCGGTACTATTACTTCCCTTGACCGGGACACTATACTTCTGTTGATGCAGCCTAGAATATTATTAGCATTTTTGTTGCTGCTGCATCGCACAATTGATCTACTTGTGATCTACAAAGACCCCTAGATCCTTTTGAGAAGCCATGATAGTTAAACTGCGAATCAAACAATTATACCTAGATATAATTTCTCAATGAATGTGCCCCCTGATCTGAAGATTGCTGCCTGGTTCGTTTGTTTTTTTGGGGGGGTCACTTGGCAAATACTGCAGAGATGTTATCCCCTCCAATGTGCAAGTTGTAACTGATTCTTTTGTCTGCCTCCTAGCTCTGCATGAGCCAGACTGTGACAGCTGAATACGACTACAATAGCAACTTCACGATTGACTACGATGCGTATGCAGACATCTGCAAGAAGGATGAGATCCGGCGATTCCGTGCAGTTTTCTTACCCGTTGTATATTCCCTTGTGTGTTTTGTGGGGCTGGCAGGCAACTGCCTGGTCATGGTGACGAACATCTACTTCAAGAGGCTCAAGACGATGACAGATATCTACCTCCTCAACCTCGCCGTAGCGGACATCCTTTTCCTGCTGACTCTCCCCTTCTGGGCCTTCAGCGCAGCAAAGTATTGGGTCTTTAAGGAGTTTGGTTGCAAAGCCATCCATTGCATCTGCCAGATGAGCTTCTTTAGCGGAATGTTGCTGCTGCTCTCCATCAGCATCGACAGGTATTTCGCCATTGTCCAGGCCCCCTCAGCCCACCGCCTTCGGTCCCAGAGAGTTTTCGCCAGCAAGGTCACCTGCCTCTCCATTTGGATCCTAGCTTTCGTCCTCTCCATCCCTGAGCTGGTCCACAGGGGCATCTATGAGTCTGACCAACAGAAGCCGCGCTGCAGCATCCTAGCGTACAACTTGCTGGCCTTCAGCACCGGCATCAGGATTTGCCAGATGCTCTTTGGCTTCCTGATGCCTCTCCTAGTGATGACGTTCTGCTACTGTGTCATCATCAGGACCTTGTTCCAAGCCCGTAGCTTCGAGAAGAACCGGGCGATCAAGGTCCTCATCGCCGTGATGGTGGTCTTTGTCCTCTTCCAGCTGCCCTACAATGGCGTCGTGCTAGCTGAGACCATCTCGGCCTTCAACCACACCAATGGCGAATGCGAAGTCATCAAGCGCATGGATGTGGCCAATGACGTGACATACGGCCTGGCGTGCTTCCGCTGCTGCCTCAACCCCTTCCTGTACGCCTTCATAGGTGTCAAGTTCCGCAACGACCTGCTCCGGCTCCTCAAGAACCTGGGCTGCATCAGCCAAGCGCAGCTCTGGCAGTGGTCAACGTACCGGGATAACACAAGGTGCTCCATTGCCACGGAAACTGACACCACCACCACTTTCTACCCCTGAAAGGCTCCATGGACCGCCAGTCAACTTGGTGTCACAACAGCAGCCTTTTCCATTGGCCAGCATGAGAGATTGACACTTGGAACCATTGAATCTCACCTGGTGGGTATGTTTCCAAGTTGCCTGAAGGGCCCAATGGACTGCCCGCCTCCTCCACAGATCAATTCACATCATTCAGACTGTTGTATAGAGTAAAGAGATGTGGACTGCAGAAAAATTGCTCACGGATCTCAAGCAAGTGAGCTGATGGCGGGGACAAAACTCTGCCTATGAACTAGAAGAGTGAGCCTAAATCAGGGTTTCCCATACGTGGGTTTCCACCTGGTTTTTGTCACTACAATACCCATCACCCCTGACCACTGGTCCTGCTAGCTAGGGATGATGGGAGTTGTAGTCCAAAAACAGCTGTAGTCACAAGTTAGGGAAACCCTGGCCTAAATGAATGTAAGAAAAGTTGTGTTGGATCAGGCCAAAGGCCCATCTATCTAGTCCAGCATTACTGTTCTCACAGTGGCCAGGTACCTATCTGCCTTCTCACACAGGACTTGTTCTCCAGGCCCCTCCCTAGCTCTTTCTGTGGAACTCTCTATTGTTTCTCGGTGGTGAGGTAAACGCACTCTGCAGCTGCTCAGGGGCCCATTTAATCTACTCTTGCTGAATATTATCATGTGTTTTCTAGCAGATTGCTGTGAACACAGCTATCCCTGGGGGTTTGCCTTAACGCAATACCTGTCCAGAGTCTCAGACTTGTCAGAGGAATGTTAATAGCTCGTGATGTTCAGGAAATGGTCTCTCAGCAGGAGCCAAATGTTAGAAGGTGGCCTCTTGAGACACGAATATGTTCTAAATAGGAGAAACCCAGGAGAGATTGGGTGATGCAGCATGCCTTCCCTATTCCCTCAAGTTATGGAAGGTCCGGGTTGGGGAGAAAAGCCGCAGTTAGTGACTGGGACTCAGAAGAGATATTTGAACTCAGGAAAGTACTATTTTGAGGGCTGCCTCTCTAGCAGTCTGGTGTGGGACCGTAGCATTTGCTGCTTGTAAGAGGGTTAAGCTGTGCCTCCACCTGTGTTCAACTTGTACATTTATAAATAAACTCAAAATATTAACAGACACACCATAAGCCTCTGGTCATCTCTCCCTTCAAGTGGAATCAAGTGCTGCCCTTGGAGCTTCTCCTCTCTTACTATTATTATTGATCATCATCATCACTGAGTTATTAATTGCCTTCTAAACTACTGCCTCTTGGCAATATAAGAGAATTCAAAGCAGTTAAAACCGCAAAAGGTACATTTAAAACATGACCGGAAGCCTGACAAGCTCATGGAAAACCCACATTGGTCCAGCTGGGGAAAGCCTGTTGGAACGGGGGGGGGGGGGCGGGGAATGTCTTTAATTGTTTCCAGGAAATGCAGTTACTGAACACCTGTCCCTAGGCGCCAGGAAGACTTCCATAGAACAGGGGCAGCCGCACTAAAAGCCCTGCTCTGAGTTACTGTGGGATGCAGCTTATGAGATCTTTGAAACTCGCAAGAGAAACTCGTCCACTGACCTCCAGGTGTGTAGGGGGCGTGGGGGATGCAGGGAAGTGAGGAGTCCTGGGTTTCCAACTATGAAGCCTTTGGGGATAACACATCACCGCAAGTGAGTCATTCCCAGTGCCGGATTTATATATAAGCTAAACAAGCTATAGCTTAAGGCTCTTGGGGCTCCCCCAAAAAATTAAAAGGGAAAAAAGCTGGATGTACATTTCCAAAATATAAGATAAAAAAACAAAATAAAATCTACATACAGCAACAGTGTTTTGTGTTGTGTAGGCTCCTATGATGTAAGTAATGGGCCCCGCCTGCTAGCCTGCTCCCTAAAATATCACTGGTTTTCTCCTTTCTACATATAGGGTGCCTGCATTCTGCATGGACTGGTTGCATGGCAACATGTGCAAATGACTTTAGGTACCTATTAGGCCCATAAATTACCATATAGCAGATATTCAACACACAAAAAAGTGGCAATTTGTTGTTGACAAAGGACAGCTGGACATATAAAGGGCCCCATTACCTTCAGTAACTTAGGGCCTCATCAAACCTAAATCCGGCCTTGGGCATCCCACACCAGAGATGTTCTTCCAGTGCAAAACTTAACTGCCCACCTAGGGAATGGGGAATTCTCTGTAGTTTGCTGGATTGCCATTAACCACAATGGCAGGGGCTGAGGGGAGTTGCAGTGCAAGGGCCCCCTCCGGCCATCCGTTTCATTATGCATTCATGACGATTTGTGCTTGGGATGTTATTGGGGCAGTTACACCAGATCCTCCTTTCAATTATCTACACCTGCAAAAATGGAAGGAGCGGATAGGCTGCCTCTTTTCCAATCAGTGCATGCCCAAATTTTATTTTATTTTTACCACAAATGTCCCAAGGGTGGTGTTCTGCCCGGACACTGAGATCCAGCTCTGAGGGCCTTCTGGCGGTTCCCTCACTGTGAGAAGCAAAGTTACAGGGAACCAGGCAGAGGGCCTTCTGGATAGTGGCACCCACCCTGTGGAACACCTTCCCATCAGATATCAAGGAAATAAACAACTATTTAACTATTTGACTTTTATAAGACATCTGAAGGCAGCCCTGTTTAGGGAAGTTTTTAATGTTTGATCTTTTATTATCTTGTTGGAAATCGCCCAGAGTGGGGAGCATTGCCGCTCCCCACAATAAAGCAGAATGATGTGTGGATGGTCCCGTATAAATCCGCCACTAATGCACTATTATTGTGCCCAGGCCATGTTGCAGAGTACACTTATGAAAGAAAAGGATCCCAAAATGTCTGGAGGAAACTGCCTAGACTAACCTCCATTCCAGAGCAGGTGAAGTAAATACATAACAGGTGTGAAACTCTGGCCCTTGCAAACGAGGTGGGATCTTCCACCAGCGCTTGGGCTCTGAGCATCCTTTCACACGGGTGCATTGATTATTCAAGGGAAGCTGAAGTGAAACTGTTTCTGAAACTGCGATCGAGATGTGGGGTTTCCCCACATGCATACTTCTCATTTCGCTCGCTCATGCCACCCCCAAACATCAGGGAAATGGAATCCGAAAACAGGAGGCCGGTGAAAAACGTTTGGTGGTTTCACTGCAAAGCAATGAAGTCTCTTGTTTCCAGAAACTGGTTGGTAAGATAATGGAAAACAAGGGTGGGGTGGAGAATGAGGGACTGAAATATCAGCAAGCCCTTTAAATAAAATAATGTGAATGACACTTGACTTCAAGCCATGGCCAAGCAGAGCAGCCATTGATACACACACACAAACTGAGAAAAGGGGTGCAGACTTGCATAAAACATGTGTGCATTGATTCTTATGCCTCCTGATGTCTCTTGTGCTCTAGGAGGCTTAATTTGGTCAGAATCGAGTATACACTGAATACACTGAATTGACGCTCAATACATTACTTCTGGTAAATGAGCCACCATTAGCCGCTAGAGGAACGTGAAAATATGTGTCCTGGGCTTTTAGACTCGTTTACCCATGTACTATGGGGACGCATTTGTTGCCAGATGTTAGCCTTATGTCCAGCTCTCCTACCCCTCTATAGACTTTTCTTCTAAAAACAGAGAAGGCGAGAAACTTGCTTTCAAAGTGAAATTTGCAATTCTCAAAATCTCACCTCCACTATCAGCTTGGTCTGCTTGCATTTCATGCCTGCCAGTCTGCGCACGGAACATACACTTTGATCATCTCCCACGTTTTGCGCCTAGATCACGCCGAGTGAACAGTGGAGATTAAAAGGGGCCTCGAGTTTTCAAACCCTTGCTTTCTGCCAACAGAAGCTGGCGAGCAGTAAAGATGACAAACAACCTTGCGGTGCCTTAACAGACTTAACAGATTTATTGTGGCACAAGCTTTCGCAGAATGAGACTTGGCTAGATGCTATCGGCAAGAGAGCGATGATGGAGGAGAAATCTGAATGAATCTGACCGAACACAGGAGAGAATTCGTTCTGCAGCTGCTGCACGGTGGTTGTGGTGGTGGCAGCGACAAAGAGATTCTACTTTGCGCTCACCACTGTTGCACTTGTGCAGGGCTGTCCAGCAGAACTGTTCTGAGTTTTACAACTTGTCGCTCGGTGGGTTCTGGTTGATCCCTCAATGACCCACATTTGCAAGATGTTTTACACACAAAGTAGCTCATGGATGGTGATTTCCACAAAGCATTCGATGAAAGTGTTTCTACCCAGGATGTGGATAGAATTCTTGAAAGTACGTATATGCCTGGTCACTTGCATGCTCACCTTTATTTCTTGGACTGGATGATCAAAAAGACCAAGGGTTGTCTGAATAGATAAGGCAGGAAATTTCTTGTTTTCTTCAGAAAGAGGGCTTGGCTCCAGCAATTCCAAAGGAGGCAATAGTCAGAGTTGGGTTGCCTGATTAAATAGGGAAGGTATTTTATTGTAGGTGTGGGTTTGGTTTTTTTTTTTTGCAGAAAGAGGGCCTGGAACCAACTGGAAGGAAGCATTAGTCAGTAGTGCTAAACCAAGTTTTTGGAATTCTGAAAGTTCAGCCTGAATTTGGAGTGCTTTAAAAAGGGGACATGAAATTGTACCCCCTCTTTCAGATTTCAGCAGATTTTGAGAGTAGGGTGCAAAGCTCCCTGGTGCTCCCTCAGTTCCTGTTGGGGGTACATTTGAACCCCCAGAATGGTGCTGTGTAACAATGTGTCAAGGGCCACTGGCAGCCACTATTTTTCCCCAGAGTGCCCTGCAGAATGATGCTTTCTTCTGATGCAATCTCAGTGCAAGTCGTTACAGAGATTTAAATGTGGCAGCCAGCAGAAGGGAGAATCCAAGAGGGTCCTTGATGCATTTTGCCCCTTGGCACTCAACAAATAGCTGTCATGGTTGCCCATTTTCATGGTGTGTGAGTGGATCTATAAAAATGTGGGGTGGGAGAGGTTTTGTGGGGTTTTTTGCAGTGAGACCATTATGGGGGGGAAAGACCCTACTGCTTTAGATCATCTGCAGCTGGCACCCAACACCCAGCTCCATCCCTACCATTAGGAAAAGAGGGAACTGCCTTGGCAAAAGAAGGTGGCTGCAGGAGCCCTAGATGTTCCTCCTGAAGCCCTCTGGTCATGACTTTCTGCTGGAAGGCAGAGTTTTGTGTGCTACATGGCCTTTCACCCCAATAACTAGCACGTTGCCCTCCTATGCATCCCCCCTTACCAGTAGCAAAGATTCCAGTGCCACTCCAGTCAACCTCTGATGAATGGGAGGTCACCAATTTGTCCTCTTTAGATAGCAAAATATATTGAACCAGCCCTGCAAACAGCCACCTTTGGGCAATGTGCTTGAATGCGGTGGTGTCTCAGTTCCGCGCGTTTCTGGCTATAACTGATCAGATCTGTTTCAATCTGATTCCCAGCCTGGTTTTGTATAGAATCATAGAATTGTAGGGTTGGAAGTGACCATGCGGGATCACCAAGTCCAACCCCCTGCAATGCAGGAATCTTTTGCCAAGTCTGGGGCTCGAACCCACAACCCTGAGATTTAAGAGTCTCACAGTTTACTGATTGAGCTATCCCACATTTCTTCTTTTAAGTCCATTGTATTCTTCTTTTTGGGACGTGGGTGGCGCTGTGGTTTAAACCACAGAGCCTAGGACTTGCCGATCAGAAGGCTGGCAGTTTGAATCCCCGCACGGGGTGAGCTCCCGTTGCTTGGTCCCTGCTCCTGCCAACCTAGCAGTTCAAAAGCACATCAATGTGCAAGTAGATAAATAGGTACCACTCCGGCGGGAAGGTAAACGGCGTTTTCGTGCGCTGCTCCGGTTCGCCAGAAGCTGCTTAGTCATGCTGGCCACATGACCACATGACTGTACGCCGGCTCCCTCGGCCAATAAAGCGAGATGAGCGCCGCAACCCCAGAGTCAGCCACGACTGAACCTAATGGTCAGGGGTCCCCTTACCTTTACCTTTATTCTTTTTAACTATGCTTCTGGTTGCTGGCTATGTTGATCATCTCTCTGTAGGTGGAAAGGCAGAATAGAAAGATGTCTACAAAGCTAAAAGTATTCCATACTGT